CGCACCACACACGCACGAGTACAAAAACGGGTGGGCACTTATAGGCCTCCGCGTTCAAAAATTAGGTTTTCTGTGGGCTTGTGTGGTGCTCTGTAGAGAGGTCAAACGGAATGACTGGTGCGTCATCTCGGCAGTGAGCGGCATTCACCTGTGCAGTGGTGGTCGTTGGGAGGGGAGGGGGGTAGTCTCAGCAGAGAGCAGCGGGGACGGGCATTGGTAGGGAGCTGTGGACAGACCAAAGAGGACAGAGCCGAGTAATGTCACTCGACATGCGGCCGCACAGAGGAGCGAGACGCGAGACGCCGACAGCCGGAGCCGAGCCGCAGCTGAGCCGCGAGCGAGTTCGCATGCACCAGGTCCACATGATCACCGCGGGCGGCTGCCGAACTCAGGTAGCGTCAACACTCCTAGGGAGTGGACACACCGAGACGGCGGCACACCCGCACTGCCACATCCATCTGCCAGTAAACGGTCGCTCCACGTACGCCGGCACGCATCGCACATGCACGTTTATTCTTGGTCCGGGAAGGGATTCACGGCCGGCAGCTACTGCCCAGACAAGGGAGTTCGCAGCGGGTCCATGTCCGCCCTTCCTGCCCTGACCGTGTTGACAGGGGCACTGCTCAGGTCAGCTTCTGAGTGGTCCAACTCGCTCCATCCTGATCTCAACGCTGTGATGAATCCACAAGCTGCCCCACACTGGGAGCTCGCCCGTCACGCAGCCATTGTGGCGCAGGGACGAGGTGTGCTCTACCAATTGGTTGTGGACGGATGGATGTTGCGCATATTCACAACCAGCGGCGAGAGGCCGAAGCGAGACTGTCGCCGAAGTGCGACCGAGGGACGTTTCGCGGACGGTCCCGGGTCGAACTTCTTTTCTCTTCTTTGGCGGGAGACATGTTACCACATCTCCCCATGTATCCCCATCTCTATAATGCAGCTCGGCTGCTCGAGGCGCGACCTACATCTCCCCATATCTCTCACGACATCTCCCGATATCTCCCCATATCTCGGGTCACTCTGCTGCTAGGATTCATCAGTGGTGATTATCGCTGCATGGGTGATGGACCTTCCCACACTACACTAGGATAAACGACCGGCACGACCGCTGTTTTGGGTCAAATCGCTGTCCAAAATAAATAAAACGCGGTCAAAGCTCAAACTCTGAGACGAGATGGGATTTAGGGACATGTGTCCCCGCCCTGCACGATCTTGGTGTGAGGGATCTTCAATCCGTGTCCCCTCACCCCTCGTCACAACCCGACACGGCAGAGCGGCAGGAGAGTCCAAAGGTTCGAGTAAGATACACAATAATTTGGATAATACGTAATAACTAAAATTCCTTGATAAATATAGTAAAAAAGATACATACGTTCCACATACCGTCAGAGAGTGCAGAGACGACTCACACGACAAACCAAAACCAGCCGGAAAGCAAAATTCTCGACCGAGGTACAAAATGCGACGTACTTGAGCGAGGAGCCGAGACGACGAGAGAGCTCTCTCGCCCATGGGACAATGTGCAGCGTGCATGCAAGAGCAGCGCGAGCGAGCGAGCGAGCAGCGCGCGCGCGCGAGCGCAAGAGAGAGCGCAAGAGAGCGAGCAAGCAAGCGAGAGAGGGAGCCAGAGAGCGCAAAAGAGCGAGCGAGCGAGCGAGCGAGAGAGAGTGCGCGCGCAAGAGAGAGCGAGCGAGAGCGAGAGCGCGAGGGCGACACCCAAGGCTAATCCTCGGGCGTCCCTCCGAAGATTGCCATGTCGTCCACTGCAGCAGCGGTGGGGCGCGGCGCGACCGGCTGAGGGGTTGGGCGCGGCGGAGGGGCGCCTGGCGCGACCGGCTCAGGGGCTGGGCGCGGCGGAGGGTCGCCTGGAGGTGGCATGGGCCGGGGTGGTGCCACGGGAGGAGCGGGGTGGGGTGGCGGCCGCATCGACGGCATTGGACCGTTGGCTGCTCCGACCCGCGGTCCGGTCGGCAGGGGCGGCTGCGGCGGAGGTGGCTGCCACTGCGCCGCCGCCGCTGGCGGCCACTGCGGCGGAGCTTGCGACCACTGCCCTGGAGGCCACAAGTAGTGGGATGGCGGGTAGGCAGCCTGTGGGTACACCGTGCCATAGCCCCATGGGAAGGGCATGCCACCGCCATACGGCGGGCCAGGCGAGGGCATGGCGCCGGGAGGCCCGGCCGAGGGCGCCGGGGCCGGGGCCGGTGCAGCTCTCTCGGTGAACATGCGGCGGTATGCCGCTCGGAGCGACGGGGAGCCAGCCAAAGCCGTCTCAATGACGCGCGGGAGGCGCTCCGGCTTCGTGCGCGGCTCAAGCGCGAGGGAGAACTCGCCGTCGCAGCTGAAGACCTCGAACTGGTCCTCTGCGTACCGGTCGTCCTCGGCCAGCAGCGCCCGCAAGAAGTGGCGCGCGTA